GTACCAAAACAAAAAAAAACTACTGGGGAGGGTTATGGGAGGACCACCACAGTGTGAGCCAGCCTGGGCTCTGTAGTGAGTTCAAAGTCAGCCTGAGCTGTACAGCAAGACCCTGCCTCAAACACACCAAATAAGAAGATTGAGAGAGGCTGATGGAAGCTGCAGGTCAGGGATTACTGGGGACCAAGAGACAGGGCAGCAGCATCAGAGAGCCTTGTGAGGAGGGAGCAGCTGTGAGCGTGACCATAGTGGGAACACAAACTACCCTGCCATACTCTGAGTGTTAATCGTCCCCCAAAGCCCATACCCTGAAAGCTTGGCCCCCGAGTACACCCCTGGGAGGCAGCAGGACTTTTAAGAGACACAGCCTTGGAGACGTCTTTAGGTCTCTGGGAGTGTGCCCTTGCGGGGACCAACCTGCCTAGCTGGCTTTGCTTCCCATCCATGAGGTGAGCGGCTTTACCCCTACAGGGACCCCCTCAGGATCCACCACCTCACCAAAGGCACAAAGCAATGGGGTCAACCAGACATGGACCGGGACCTCCAAAACTCAGAGCCAACAGAGATCTTTGCTCTGTGTAAATTAATTATCTCGGATAATTTTTATAGTGACAGAAAGCTGTTTAATATATTTACACGTGGCTTAAATTACACAGAGCTATATATACATGAACACACGCAGTCCAGGCAAATTCAAACTCTGTGGAGTGTGAACGTTAACTTTTTAGTATTGACACTGCTCTGAATTTATGCAAAGGTGTTAACACAGGTTAGTGAAGGGTGCACAGGGCGACATGATAACATCTTCGTAACTCTGTACATGTATGATTATTTCAAAATGAAAGTTCAATTTAAAAATAAAAATAAAGCAAGACCCGACAACCTGCCACCTACAAGAAAGACTTCAAATACAGATGATGTCATTTGATTGGGGATGTAAGAGCTTAGCAGGTATCAATCTCTGGGTTCAATCACCAACATAAAACCAAGAAAACCCACAAATAAAATGAATGACACAGAATGAACACAAAAGGATGGCAAAGGATATTCCATGTGAAGGTGCCAACCTCCCATAATGGGTGTAATCATTAGGTACTGTAAATGTGTACTTATAAACATTTCAAAAAGGAAATATCATTTATAACAGCAATAGAAGCACTAAATACTTAAGAATAAATTTAACTGAATATGTACAACACATTGCAAGCCACAACCATGAAAGGAAGTTTAAAAACTAAATAAATGCTAATAAGCAATAAAGCCTGAATCACATGACTCAGTATTGCTAGGCAATTCTCCTCAAACTGATCTATGGACTCAGTGCAATGACAACATTTATGGAAGATTTTTTGGAAACTAACAACTTAATTCTAAAGTTTATATGCAAATACAAAGACCTGGAAAACTCAGGACAATTTTGGAAAAGAAGAATGAAATTAGAAGGTTCACACTATCTGATTTCAAGACCTCTGTAACACTGCAGGATTTGAAACAGTGTGGTATTGAACTGAAATATGGACAAGCTGGGTAAAAGGGTACAGAAATAAGCTCAAAATATATACAGAACTCTCAATTGAGCCATAAAATAGTAAATCAACGAATAAATATTTAAGCAGATGCTTAACTATAAAGGATATGCAGTTGGCAAATAAATGATGTTTAATGACACCAGTATTTAGGGAAATTAAAAATTTAGATACTACAAATCTATTAGAATGGCTAAAATTAGCTGGATATGGTGGCTCATGCCTGCAATCCCAGCACTTGGGAGGCTGACGCAGGATTGTTGTGAGTTCAAGATCAGCCCATGCTACAAAGTGAGCTCCAGGTCAGTCTGAACTGCATAGAGAGACCCTGTCTCAAAAAGACCAAAAAAAAAAAAAGGCTAAAATTAAAAAGATCGATTATATAAAGTGCTGGTGATTATGTGGAGAGACTGGAACAGTCATTCATCTTAAATGGAATGTAAAATGGTAATAGTCACTTCAGAAGAATGACTTGATGGTTTCTTATAAAATTAAGAAACACTTGTCACACAACTCAGTAATACCACACATAAGTATCCAAAAGAAAGAAAAACATATGCAACTGTCTAACCCAGCTTTATTCATAGTAACTCCAAATGGAATTATCATGTCCAATAACTCGTAAATAAACAAATTACAGCACACCTTTACAGTGGACTCCTACTGAAATATGCAACAACATGGATGAATCTGAAAATCATTAGCTAAATGAAAGAATTCAGATGCAAAAGGTAAAATACTGTAAGATTTCATTTATACTACATTCAGGGAAGTCAGAGCTATAGAAAGAAAATCAGATTAGTAGTTGCCAGGAACTGGGATTGGAGAGAAAGAAATGGCTTTTAAAGGTGAATTTCAGCCAGGTGTGGTAGTCCCAGCACTCAAGAGGCTGAGGCAGGAGGATCACCACAAGTTCAAGGCCAGCCCGGGATACAGAGTGAGCTGAGGTCAGTCTGAATTGCATAGTGAACCCCTATCTCAAAAAGCAGAAGGAGAAGAAGATGAAGAAGAAGAAGAAGAAGAAGAAGAAGAAGAAGAAGAAGAAGAAGAAGAAGAAGAAGAAGAAGAAGAAATGGAGGAAGAGGAGGAGGAAGAAGAATTATTTCATTCTATGTAATTTATACTTCAATTAAAAATGCATCAAAGCTTGTAGGATGCAACTAAAGTTGTGTGTCGAGAGAAGTCAATGCATATATTAGAAAAGAAAAAGTTTTAAAATTATATTTCTACTTTAGGAACCTAGATTTGAAAAAAAAATGCCATGCATGGTGGCACACACCTCTGGGCCCAGCACTGGGAAGGCTGAGGTAGGAGAGTTCTTTCAACTTCGTGGCCAGCCTGGGCTACACAGTGAGTTTAAGGCCAGCCCAAACTCCATAGCAAGATCCTGTCTCAAAAAGGAAAAGAAAGAAAGAAAAAGAGACCTCCGGGTGCACGCCTGTAATCCCAGTGCTGTGAGTTCAAGGCCAGCCTGTGCTGCATATCAACACCCTGCCTCAAAAGAACAAAAAACAAAAAAATAAGAAAGAAAAACCATGGGCAGCAAATTAATCCCAAGGTAAGCAAAAGAAATAATAAAGATAAAAGCAGATATAGGGGAAATAGAAACAAGTAACAGAGAAAATTACAAAGCCCAAGCTAGATTATTCAAAAAAGCAAATAAAGTTAGTCAACTTTGGTAAGATTCATCCAGAGAAAAGTGCAAGAAAAAACAAGCTACCAACACGAGGTATGAGCCGGGCATGTGGTGCCCCCCTGAGGCCCCCGTTAGCCCTCTAACTCCAGCACCCTGGGCTGGGGACGTTTCTCAGGTGAAGGCTGCAAGTTCAACCCAGACTCTCACAAAGAAAAGAAAAGAAAACCTTAATCAAAGCAAAGCAAAACAAAACAAGAACCACACGAGGCATAAAGGAGGCCGTATCACTAGAAATACTACAGCTATCAAGTTAATAAAAAGAGAAAATATGAACAACCTGAAGCAAATAAATTTGACAACTTGAATGAAACAGTCAATTTCCTTTCACTAATGCAAATTACTGAGCTAGAAACGTAGTTCAATGGTAGAGGGCTTATCTGGCAGGAAAGAGCACTGGTGTGACCCCTAGAAGGCATCCCCCCCACCAAGAAAGCCAAAACAAGAAAAAAATTTAAAAAGCAAACATATCTCCTATGAAATTCTAGAAGCAATGCAATTAGTCACTGATACGTGAAATCAAAATCGTATCCATCTGTGGATGGAGGAAGGAATGGGCAGGGAATGAAGGAACTTTTCTGGGATGATTAAAATCTTTATCCCCTGACAGAGGTACGAATTATGTGGGCAGGCAATTGTCAGAAGCATTGCTCACACTGTACTGCTAAAGGCTGCACATTGCAGTACGTGGAGTTACGTCTTAATTCAGCAAGTGAAATGGGGCTCTAGCTCAGTGATAGAACATCTGCCTACACGTGTGAATTCCTGGGTTCAGTTCCCAGCACACACACCAAAAAAGAAGGAGAAGGAGGGAGGGAGGGGAAGGAGAAGAGAAAAGAAAATTGTAAAACAATCGCTAAATTTTTTAACAAAACCTAAAGTCTATCTTTAAGAGAAATCAAGATAAATCTTGAAGATTTGTGGTTAGGAGAAAGGAGACAGGCAGGAGCAGGAGACAGAGTATCAGGGCCATCACCGGTGGGTTTACTGAGAACTCTGCAAGTACTTTACGTAAGTTTTCTTATTTCCTTCCTATGACCTATCTTTCAGAAATAACAGGAAAGAGACGCTTTAATAAACAAGCCCTCCCTGCTCTCCTTGGGAAACACTTTAGATATAAAAGCTCTTTATCAATGTATGGTACCAGGGCACTTTTCCCTTGCAAATTTCAGGCAAATAAGTTAAGAGATCTTTTCTTAAATCTACTGTCTCCACTAATACATGTGAATCACAGGGAAAGAAGATACCTACCACCATCCTGGATTCCAGCAGTATTCATAAAATATGTCCTATGACCTATAACTATGATGCCTAAAACATTTTATTTTATTTTTTTGGTACCAGGAATTGATCTCATGGTCTGGCACTTGCCCCACAGGCACTGTGCCACTGAGCTATATCCCCAGCCCTGATGCCAAAACCATTTCAGCACCATGATAGTCCTATCCTATTTGTCTTATATTCTGTAAGTGGAGAGCTAAAAGAGCATGATTTGCTGAATTAATATTTTACCTCATTACTGATAAAATGAATCTAGCACAACTTCTCCAATAGGTTAGCTAGTCTTTAAAAAAATTTCTTGGGCTGGGGATATAGCTCAGTACCTGCTTGGCAAGTGCAAGATCTTCAGTTTGATCCCTAGTACCAAAAAAAAAAAAAAAAAAGGAGAAGAAGGAGGAGAAGGAGGAGGCAGCGAAGGAGACCTCTTCCAGGCTCCTGCATAAACTTCAGGCAGCTTTAAAAGAGAGAAACAAGAATAAGAGAGGACAGAGTGTCCTTACCACGTCCAACACAGCGTGGACAATCAGGTCCAGGTAGACGGTGGTGGGTTCAACCCAGTTGTGAACTGGCCTCACTTCCTTGTGATACTGCTGCAGTAAATGCTTGGTGAGGTGAAGCAGGGTAGGATCCCCGAGAGGAGGCGGATCTGCGGCCAGAATTCCTGGGAAAGGAAACTTTCACTGTGAAGATGGAACTAGAAAGTAGCTCCAGGAGATTTAGAGAGCGCAGAGCAGGATAGCTCCTGGTGGAATCTAGTCTGCACACATTCAGCTAACTAGTGGGCTGCTTGGCAGACATTTATTTAAGGTTACTGAGCGGCCTTGATGTGCCAAGAGAAATCTCATCGCAAAGACAGGTAAATCAACCCATCCCCAGGAATGCACACCATGCCTATAATTCCACTGTACAGCAATCATCCACTTTGGGGACAGATTTCTTCCATTATTCCCGTATTACCCACCTCCCTACCCTGACATAAAGAAGAAGTTAAGATAGGCTTAGCCAAATCTTAACTTCCACCTTACTCTGACTATGGATCTTTCCATCTGTAATGGACGAACTATTGAGCATATAGAAATCCTTACACAAGTCTAGATAATAAAACTGACATTCTGGTTCGTACTTTTCTACTCAAAAGTCTCTTTTCTGACCCTGTCTGCTTTTAAATAAAGTGCACTTGTCAGAAAATGAGATCTTTGTTTTGGGAAAAATCTCTCTGGTTCCAGGGAAGAACTATTTCCCCTGACCCAGGAATCTTGATTTGTAGAGGGGCAGTGATTGTTGCTGGGGCAGAGGAGGCCAGGGGACAGAATGCAAAAGAAATGAACACCAACAATTGGAAGTGACAAATTTGTGAGGGCTCTCTCTGAATTGCAAAAGGATATTTTGTTCACAAGCTTCGCCAGCCCTCAGGGAATCTGAAGCTTCGCTAAGTCATTGGACTGGAGCAAATTGCACACCTCCTGACATGGTGTGTGATGAGCTCTATCTGCAGTGTCCTGCGTGTGAATTTGCCTGGCTCTCAGTGGTTTTGATGGTTATTTTGATGAGCTGCTAAAAGCATGAGAGGTCCAGCAGGAAACTGTAAATGAGATTGCTTCTCCCTGTGCGACAATCCTGTTTATGCCCATTTCTTTATGAATAATGCCATGTCACTTGCCGCCACAGGCAGCAATTTCTATGATTTATCAATGTCGCTGTGACCAAAATACTAACAACAATGCTAGAGGTGCAATCCCAGACTCACTGTGGGCAGCGCGGACATTCACTTTCATTACCGCCAGAACTGGGGATCTAATGAGCATTTTAACTCTCCAATTATTCACCCAAGAAGATGCCTAAAATGGCATCAGGTACTCAGGCATGCAGGACTGAGGTGGGGGTGCATCAGGCATCATTTTTAGGGGTTTTGTGAACTGTTATTATCAAAAGGTGTGCTGTGACTCTCTCCTCCACCCGAGAACATTTCACACTGGTGGACTCCAGGGGAAGGAAGTTGAGAACGTAAAGAAGAGCTGGCCCAGTGCCCTTTCTGCAAACTTCGCCTTGGAGGTTCCCAGTTCAAGTCTCAGCTGGGGGCTCCTGGGAAGGTGGTAGAGAGAAGGAGCCTCTCTGAAACTTGGTGCCCGGACTCTGGAATATAACAAAGTAAGGAAGGGAAGGAGGAGGAAAGTAGATCCCCAGGACCCAGCAAGGATCTGAAGTGATAACTGAGGGCCTCAGGGAGGCTGAAGAAAGAATTCAACAAAGAGAAAGGAGGTGGCAAGTGGTCCTTTCCTTCCTCACTCCTGGCTCTGCACATGAGGGACATGAGAGCTGCAGATGCACAGTGACTACGGGCGACCCCAGAGGCCTCCGTGGAGAAGTGCACCACTGGATCGGAGCGGTGGACACAACAGACCATGGTGGCTGGTGAGTTACTTGAGTTCAGACGTCCCCCAGGAGAGGGCAGTTGGCTGGTAGCCGTCTTGGAGAGGGACCATCTAATTCCCTACTTGGAGGAGCTGCAGGCCGACTCCATCCAGTGGCTCTCAATGTCAGGGTGAGACAGCATCAGGTTCCAGCTAGCAAAACATCAAGGAGCTGAGTTTAAACGGGCAGGAGGAACCCAGAGTGTGGGAGAGGAAACAAACTGGGTTCCGGCCGCACAGCTAGAAAACGGCCTGAAGTCAGTGGACTCAAGGTGCAGAGTCGTGTTTTGAAAGCCTATATTGTTATTATTTGGGGTTTTGTTGTTATAATTGTTGTCTCTTTTTTTTTGCTTTTTCCGCGTTTTTTTCCTCTTTAAAAGAAAATAAAAACTAACTATATAAAGGTGCGTGATTGCTGAGATTAATCAACATGGAGCTGGACCCCGTCTGCACATCTGTCTACCAGTGATGCAGAGACACACCTTGAAGTAGGCATTTCCCCTTATTTTCTTGTGGTTTTTTTCCTTGATTGTTTGTTCTTGTCTTTCTATGATGTGAACATGTTTCTAGTTTTTGTGCTGCTGTTGTTCTGTGACATTCTTGCTTTTATTTCTTCCCTCTCTTTCCCTCCTGTCTTCTTTACTAGTTTCCTAAAGTTTGCATAAACTTCTCCTTCATCTTCAGGCTTTGCTTCTAATCTCTTCCTCTTCTTCTATTTCTTATTTTTTCCCCCTGTCTCCTTTTAATTTTCCTCCCCTGAAGGTAAAACCACCACATTGAGGGCATATTTCCCATATAAAATTTTTTGCTTTGTTTTCTATTTTCTGATATAACCACAAATCTAGTTTGCACAGATCAAAGTGGCAAATTAGTAGTTACCGCAGGTTGTAATTTTCTAGCTGTCTGACGTTATTGCTATTGCTGATTGTATCCCTTTAGCCAAGGTCACAAAGGGTTCTAATCGGTTGTTCTTCCTAGTATGCCAACGCTGAGATTGCCTACACATCATCAAAAATCCTATAGACCAGGGCCAGGGCGCAGTACCTGCCTGGCAAACACAGGTCCTGAATTCGATTCCTGCTAGCAATTAAAAAAAACACACACACTCACACAAAAAGTTTAGGTCAGTACCAAAGAACCAAGGGCTAGGGCAAGTAGGTAGCAACTTCTCACCCCAATAAATCGAAGAGGTAGGATCTTGGAACAGACTCGAACCCAAAAGCCAGCTACACCTGAAGACATTTCTAAGTAGTCATTTCCTAGGGGGTCAAGTCTCAGTTGGAGAAATGCTGAAATGTGTATGATTCAACACAGGAAACTATCCAAGACAGCATTAAAACATAATTCTGAGAAATGAATGTGTGTTCCCTTTACTCTTGGCTAAAAAAGACTCCAATTCTCCTCTACTAACTTTTGTAGGAACCATTCCATAGGTCTCTGGTGGATAAACATGTTTCTTTAGGTAAAGAGAGAAAGTTCTGGAAGCTAGGGCCAGGAACAAAAGAGAAACAAATTATTAAGAGAGAAAAATTATAAGGCAATGGAAGTGTACTTAAACTGAAGAGGAAAGAGCTCTTTGTCTGAAATGGGAAGAAATAATAAATTACATTTCTACTATGAATGCAAATTTGCCTGAAGAGAGAGATCAATTACGGGAGAAAGATTAAGGATTTAAGTGACCATTAATTAACAGTAAATGATGCCCCTTGAAAGCTAATGTGACATTCACACAAGCACTAAATGACTCACAGTTCAGTGATGTTTCAACAGACACGGATGGAAGCTATCAACACAGCCAAGAAAGATGCCTTGCGAACACTGCCTTCCTGAATGCTAATAGTCAACTTCAAATAATTCATGTGTACGATCTCTGCAAAGTGGGATGTGTTAGGGATGGAGCTGTGAAGCACTTGTAGGTGAAGAGAGATTTAAACAGAAGAAGATAAGAATGCAACAGGAAGAGGATGAAAAAGGAGTTAAGATGTCTTACGTGCGTGCACCAACTCCCCAGGAGAACTGTGATCCTTCTGTACTGCACACGGGTACTCAGAATCCCATAAAAATAAAAAAAATTAAAAGAGCAGGAGAATCCAGGGGTATCATTCCTGTATTTTCCTTGTTTTAGTGGGCCACTCGCTCACCCACAACTCTCTTAAAGTGGGGTGCTTTGATGAAAAGAGCTATTCTTGACTTCATATGTATCTTTATAGGAGAGTTAGACATGTATCAGAGAGGTTACGAGAAATAGTAGATTTAACTGAATGGTTCTGTGGAATCCCTGGTAATATCTGAATGCGTGCTGTATGACAGGCAGTGGGCTGACACCTTTGTATGAATGATCTTATGACAGTTACAATAATCTTATGAGAAATGTGTAATTACTGTAGGCGAGAGACCACGGGCCAGTGAAGTCAGTACTGCCCAAGGTCATACAGCTTGTAAACCAAGGGGCTGGAATTTATATACATCCAGTTCAGAACCAAAGCCCAAGCTCTTCAGCATGGCCCTATACTGACCCGCCTCCTTGAGATTACTAAGGACAGCAGTGAGCAAATCTTCAAAAGGAAGACTGACCATTGTACACTATACTTGATTGTACAGAAATAACCAGGGCTATTTTCTGTGTGTGGTTTCTCATCGATAACATATTTGCATTTTACCTTAACACTTCACAATCTTACTTGACTTGCAGGAATATCTAAATGGTAAGTTATCTTGAGAGATGGAAAGATGAACTGACTTACCCGGTAGCTAGTGAGAGTGAAGGTGGAATAGACCTTCTTCTCCAGTGTGCAAGAGCAGCCGAGGGTTAGTGGCTGACCCCGTGTTCCCACACTCACAGACCATCTCAGTAGCAACCCAGTGCATGTCTAAAGGACAGATTCCCCGGCCTCCAGTGTCCTCAGCGTGATTTAGGGGAAAGTGCTTGTTACTAGATAGTATTAAAACACTTTTCTGCTATGTTTAGTGTAAAAGATAAGCATAAACACAAAACATTAAAACAGAGATATCATTAAGAAGAATTTCTAGGGAGCTGGGGATTTAGCTCAGCGGCATAAGCGCCTGCCTTGCAAGCAGGCAGTTGTGAGTTCGATCCCCGGTACTGATAAAAAGAAAAAGAAAATAAAAGAAGAATTTCTGTTTCCTACCTTCACTTTTTATTTAGCTTAGTTGACAATTATTTTCTGTTAAGAAACTCATTTGGCATTTAATGAAGTTTCCTCTATTTTATTTTTATAATTAAAGCATACTTATATCCTTTAATTTAAACACTCAGGATTTTTATACTTCAATACCAAGTAGGCTGTTCTCTGCGCAAAAGAAAAATAATTTCAGCTTCTTTTTTTTTTAATTTCCAATTTCTTGGCTGCTCTGTGACTTCAGACTGAAGCTCTAGGAGAACCCCAAGAAAGTGGGGTATTGGGAAACACGAGCACAAATTTGTGAATCAATTATATCTTAAATAAAATAGCTCAATAAAAGGGAGCTCATAATAGCACCATGGAAGTGTAGTTTTGGAAATTCAGAAAGCTTTTAGCACATTTTAAAGAGGAATTGTAAACTCAAAATCTGTGAGTTTTTAGTACATTCCTTTAGAGGTATACTTAGCACCTAGGTAGATTTTGTAAGACTGAGCATAAAGCCTGTAATACCAAAATATATACACGTGTCTGCAGCCATGAGAAATTCACAGAACTCTTTCTTAAGGCTGCTAAAAGCTTATAATGAACCTAAGACTCTTTTGGATAATGAAAATATATTAGCTATACATAAAAGCAAACCTGAAAAAGGAATCCCCAAATTCATATAAATTGCTGCAGAGACTATGATTTCTAGAGAAGGGGAGTCATCAGACAATTACATTTTAGGGCCAGTTTCAGCTGCGCCCCCAAATCCTCACCATAGGAAGCTATACACATGTGTGACTGGAACAAAGTCAGAAACAAAGCATCGGTCATTGTGTGGCTTCACAGGACTCCTGTTTCACAGACAATGAGTAAAAGTGAGCGACTGATCTATTGTCTGTGTCTGTAACTTAGAGGGGTGAAGATTTGATGCCCAGTAAAATCATTAACAGGACTCACCTGTGGCAGCCACCAGGACGCAGGGCCACAGAGGAGCCATCCTTAGCCCAGGGCGGGTCCGAAGAGCAGAAATGCAAAGTCACCTCCTGGATGTAACCTGCTGTTTCCCGGGACAGACTTCCTCTCCACTCTGTTCTGTTTGCCAGTTTGCGCGATCTTCACTGGTGCTGTTTCATGAACACTGAATTGGACCGAGGCGGTACCAGCACCACACAAAGATTCTAGAATTGATGCCATCATCAACCCCGTAACTTGTACACTTGGTTCTGCCCCGGGATCAGACGGTGGCCAAGAGCTCCATCTTCCTGACAGGAGATGGCTAAGTGAATAATGTAATATCAGAGGAGCCCCTGAGGAGAGGAAGCTCCACACTAATATGATTTCCTCACAGCCTCTACCTAAGGCAATGCTCCTCCCGATATTCAGGACACTAATTTCATTAATAATTGAGGGCCGAGTAGCTGTCCTCAATCAGACATCTTCAGCATTTGAAATGGCACTCAAATTACGTAAAGCTAACAGCACCCTGGTATCGCCTAATGAGAACAACTGCCAACAGTGCAAGGGGAAAAGTGCTTTTTGTTTTTCCTGTGCCTCTTTAATTAAAAGAAACATTGATTTCTGGCATATGAATATTTTTCACTGACCACAATTCAGAAAGCAACTACCTAAGAGAGAATGTGTCTTGGCCTATTGAAGATGAGAAGTATATGATTATCATCGCTCAATACTTTTTTTGGCTTTGTGGTTGAAGATGTTATGGCAATAATTCTGAATGAAGGAGAGAACACTTTTTTTTTTTTTTTTTTTTTTTTGCATTTTTACCGGTACCAGGGATCGAACTCACAGCCACAGGTTTGCAAGGCAGGTGCTTATGCCACTGAGCTAAATTCCCAGCCCCAGTTATGGCAATAATTCTATACAATAACTCTTGTTTTGCTAGACTCCCTAGGTGAGAGCTGGAGAGCCTTTTAGAGCTTTCGAAAACAAACAGCCTGCTATGTGTCATGGGTGCCACTGCTGTCCTAGGTGCTCTAGAAACAAAACCCAAATTTCTTACCTTTTCCAACATCCGACTGAATTTTATCATAAGTGGAATTGTAGAGGCACAGGTTTAAGCTAGAGTTTTGCAGAGCAAAATAAGGGTAAGAGAGGCACATATTGGATTCTTGTTCTAATTACTTAATCCATTTGCTTGGAATCCAAGAAGCTCTCTACCTAATTTTCATCTACCAATCAAACATAGCCTGATTGTTTCCTACTGATGGCAAAGGGAATTACAAATATGAAAGGAGGAAAAAAAATATGACAGGGAGGATGGCAGACCCCAGGGGTGCGAAGTTGGTTTTGGAGGCACTGGAGTGAATTCATGATTTTCAATGTATCTGTGTGTGGAAATGTGTGTTTGTGCAATGTTCACACATACGTACACATACCTCAGTGCCATGCTCAGGAGGATGGGAGCAGGAGGAAAAGGCTCACCTGGCACCGAGATCCAGCTTCTAAATATCCTGCCCACCTACCAGGGAGAAATGGAGAACGACTGATGTCAGAGCTGATGGAGGGAAGGTATAAGGACTGACCACCTCGTACCAGAAAGCAAAAACGTACTGAGAGAAGGATGGAGACATAGAAGTCAGCTTTGGGGAATCAAATCTGGGGCAACTTGAGCCTAAAATCAGTAGCAATAGTAAAAAGGTATGACCCACTGAATAACACTGTGACCACACATTTTATATGGATTTAAATAAACACATGAAAGAGACAAAGTGTTTCCTTACATTACAATGCCAACTAACAAATGAAGAAGAAATAATGGAGTATGTGGATTAGGTGATATGATTTGGCAATGCTGATTTCCTAACTTTGATTGTGTTGGGTTTACATAAAAGAGTGCCCTTGTTTGTAAAAACCACACACTGAGCGTTCAAGGGCGGAGACCATCATGAGGGTACTTATTTGCAAACAGATGCATGAGGGGCGTGGGCACAGGGAATTCTGTCTCCTGTCTTGCCCATGTTGCTGCACATTTGAAAATACTTCAGAAGGAAAAGAAATTAAAACTCAACCCGGTGGAGGAGTTGTGATGCAAATTATGGGAAGCTTATTTGAGGCGTGGACAGAAAAACGAGACTTCATCAGAGAAGAGCTTGTCCAGGGAGGACAAGGAAGAGCCACGCCCCCCCCCCCCCCCCGTACCCCACCTTCCTCTCTGCCTTCATTTTGCTCCCTGTTTGTCATTTGTTGTATCAGAAAGCCAGTAAAGAACAACAACAACAACGATCAAAAGACACGAGCTCACCTCATCAAAGGTTGATCAGATCTTCCAAGTCCCGGCCCTTTCTACAAGTTCTCTGAATTGTCAGATTCTAACTAAGAAAAGTGAAGAGGAGAAAGACAAGCTCCTGGCGGCACAGCTATGCAGGTAGCGGTTACGGGAAGAGAATGCAGAAGTTTCCTTTTACGCAAAGACATAGCTGAGATGATGATCTGCCTTGTATTCTTGCCTGCATTTTAGTAAGCGGACCCTGGGACAGTGCTTCTCTGACAAGCTTCCCCCTTTCTTTGTGTGTTTTTAGGTGTCCATCTGCTGTTACTGGAAGGCCACAGCTAATGACGTGTAGGACAGGGACATTATGAACTTCATTAGCTAATTTAACAAGTCTGATGACCCTGGCCATTTCAGCTCTTGGCTGATGAACCCTGCCACGGCGGAGTTTTGTGTGTGAGTCACTGGTCTTGGATATCACTGGTCTTCCCTTGATGGCCCTGCGCTGCACTGCCTGAGGGCTAAAATCTCCCTTTTCTAATTTTACCGTCCTAGGGGTCTAGTTTGTTTACTCACTGCTTTTAGATTTGGTATTACCCTTCGCCTCAACCTTCAATTTTTCATGAAAATGATCTCTTCTCTCTCCTTAAATATAGCACTTCTCATCTTGCAAGAGCTTCTTATGCACACTGTATCCAATTATTCCCTTCTTAAGAAAGATAACTGTGGGAGTGAATCTCATTCAGGCCCTTCAAGTGGATCAATATATTTAAGGCAAAACTTGGAGTCGTGAGAGCACAGGCGTGCAGGCTGCTTAAATAATATTGTTTGTGCAAAATAAACAGAGATTTCAGCTGGGGTTTGAATCTCCTGGTGTCTGACAGCAGCCCTGGCTGGCCCGTCACTTGAGGGGACCTAGAAGTGTGCTCCTTCCAGAGCTCCATTATTTCCAAGTAAGATCTGGTACCTCTTAGATGGACCAGTGTCTTTCAGAAGAAGCAGGATTATTATGCAAACATAATAAGGAAGTGTTTATTATGCAAACAGCAACGGAGTTATGTGTCCTTTAAGACTACTAAATAGTTTTTAATTACTGCTATATCAGTAAGTCCCATAAATATGCAAATGCAATTAGTTCGCAAAATAGGCCTTAAATATCTTTATTCCTCTCCAACAAAGTTTTTGAAGTTAATCGCTAACTGTCTTTGTTCGCCCTCTTCGCTGTGCTAAAATTGACAGGGATTTTGACAGATGTACATATTCAGGGAGAACCAAATTTTCTGAGCACATCTGGTCAGGGTGGAGCAGGACAGCAGAAATGGACACTCCAGCTAAACTCACATGTTTGACAAATAGAATCCCATCTGTCATTTCTTTTACTCCATCGTGCTGTTCCTTGAAATAACATTGAGCTAACCAGGGGTGGGGATGTGGCTTAGTGGCAGGGAGCCTGCCTGGCAAGCACAAGATCTAGAGTTCAATTCCGGGGTCAGAATTTCCTGTAGGTCAGAATTTTATGTTCAATAATATTATATGTTTTCTGGCCATAAATACATACATCAAGCATGCATGGAGTCTCCCGTGCTGCTGTTTCTTCTTGGTTTGTGTCTGTCTGCTTACTACGGAAAGTCATAGACTAAGAAGCCAAAGTCATACGTGCTTTGTGTCATCTGTCACCTCCGTCATTTGTGCCCATGGCCTTGACCAAATTGTTTACTGTTTCTGAAAAAAGGCTTTTAAAAATCGATCAATCAATAAAGAGAATTTTGTCAACATGGAATTAGTTTTCTATGGCCATGTGACATTATCACAAACTTAGTGTTTTAAAATGCAACTCACTGCTGGGGATGGTGGCACATGTCTATAATCCCAGCACTCTGGTAGACTAAGGCAGATCACAAGTTCAAGCCCAATTTAGGGATTCAGCAAGACCCTGTCTCAAAATAAAAAAGGACTAGGGACATAGCTCATTGAGAAGGCTCTGTGTTTAATCCCAAATACTGAAAAAATTGTAAATTGCATACATCCTCTCTCAATTCTGTCTTCAGTGATGTAGATTAGTGGCTTAAATCAGCTATGATTAGCTGAGTATAGTGGCATACATCTATAACTGCGGCATTTGCAAGGCTGAGGCAGGAGGATCGTCAGTTCAATCCCAGCCTGAGTTACAGAGTGAGACTTTGCCTCAAAATAAACAACAAAAAGTCAAACGTGGTGGGAGAATTTGCTACATGAAAATCATCAAACACTACGAGTCAGGCTGGTAGTGCTTTCATGACAAATCAGGCAGGATTCCCACCAGCTGGTTACGAACTAGGTCCACAGCCTTGATCTTACGGGACCTCATATGCACCTCCATTTCTGCACTTATTAAGTATATTTTGAGTGTCTTTTCTAGAATCCTAAGAATATCATGAAGGTAGGCAGCTGTTATATTATTCATCTCTGCCACTGTAGTGCAAAGCTTGGAACCTAGAGAGTGCTCAGTCAAGGTTTCAGAAGGATGGAAGGGTTGATGAACCAAAAAAGAATGTTAGCCTACGTGAGAAGAAGATACCCGAAGGGGACCGGCTTTCTCACACCCACCTCCGAGATGCTTGCTCTTGGACAGCGAGCTAAGCACTAAGGGTTCCTGAGAATGATGGCTTGGGCTAGAGCCACGTGGTTTTTGTCAGGTGGCTCCTGAGCAGTGAGCAAGCAGTGCATAAAACAGGGAGGAGCTTAAAGCACCCAGGATGCTTGCCTTTGATTGGCTGCCCAAAGCGCAGGGCTCTTGTAGTTCCTGCAAGTAAGGTGGCCTCTACAAGCTTGAAGAAGATAGAAATGTAGAAGAAAATAGGAGGAGTGTGGCTCGGGGCTCCTGTGTATGCTCCCCATCATATCCATTCCATGAAGCTACTGCAATTACACGGTGGCAGGTGGTCTCACCCAGTTAGCCGTGTCACACTGGGGGTGTGACATCTGGCTGTATCAACACCGAGGCTCTCCCCTGGCCTGTG